TGCTCTCTGGCAAAGGAGTGCTTCTTATCAAGTGTTCAGATGTTCAAGTGCCTGAGGGCTGTTCACATGGGAAAATTCAGTGGCATTATTCATACCTTTCCACTGCAGAATATGAGTACTCACATGGGAACTCAACAAGGGTATAATTATTTTGCTCTAGAAAAGTCTTAAGTACCTTCATATAATTTCTCCCCAGAAAGTTAGCTATGGCACAGGTAATACAACACACCAGAGAAAATACACCTGGGGACATCAGACAGGACTGCTTTGTACAAAAGCAACTCTTCACCTGTGTGGCAATACATTTCCCTATTTGAGGTTGGTTTTTTTCACAGAACACTCTGTCTCTACTTTTAAAAAAAAAATCTCATTTTACAGAGAAATTAAAACAAACACCATACACATACCACCACACCCACCCACCCACTATCTTAATTACTGATATTAGTTTTGCTGCACTTCCTTACACTTTCCTCTTGTAAATGCATCCTAACTCTGAGCACCACACTCAGACACTCTCTGAGCAGCAACTACAGCTTATGGTAAGCAAACTATGTGCTGAATGCTGATGGAGAGGGCTAATACTCACTCAGGAAAATAAGCAAGAACAGAATCCATGTAACGTAAACCAATTTCACACTTCAAAGGATATTAACAGGATGTGCTGCACCTGCAGCCATGAATTTCATTTACATAGGAGAAAAACAATCTCTGCGCTGTAAATGTAATACAGTGGGTAGGAGGGATGGAAGAGTGAGAGAGAGAAAGAAAACACAGGCTACCTCGCACACAGCCTCCCTTAAACAGTGTCCCTCACATACAGCATCCCTTAGCTGTATCCCTCAAATTCAGCATCCCTCAGCAGTATCCCTTGCATTCAGCATCCCAAGCAGTGTCTGGGCTATGGCCCTCACAGTTCTGCCTTTTGTGTCTACTCCGCCCTTTGCAGTTCTCGCTGGGTGACCCGCAGCAGGTGGTATAACTCGGAGAGAGATTTCAGAGTCCTCTGGTGCCCAGCAGCATCCACGTGCCCCGGCTCGGCACACTCCTGCACAGCTTTCTGCAGCTGCAGCTGCAGGGGGGAGGAAACCAGCAGTCCTCTGAGATTTGGGGAAAACCAGCGACGGAATATTTTATCACAGATTACCTGAGGAAAGGAAAGAGAGCAGATTGTTGCCTTTCAGGAGCTACAGCTAACACCTTGCTGCTTCTCTGGGACTGCAGCAAACCCCTTTCTTCTCAGATCACTCTCACACTTGTGCTTAAACAGTGGTGAGGGTGAGGGGGTGGGAGAAGCAGGCAAAAGGCAGCTGAGCCACAGCTATGCTCCCCCAGCCTCCCTGCTGCCCTAGTGCCTCCCACCAACAGTTTGGGTGAGCTGTAGAACACCTCATCCGGACACCTCATCCCAGCGCCAAGACTCCTCTCTCCATTACATCCACACACTATCTCTGTAGTGTGAGAAATCACAGCTAGAGAACCTCACTGCTCACATGTGGACAGTCACCACTTTACCATGACTGGAGACAGCAATGACAACCCTTTGCCTCTGATTCCTCTATGCTCGTCTCTGAGGTGTTGAGCTAACAGTGACACGAAACTGTGGCAAATAAACACTGCTGGATATAACGCTCTGTTTGCATGCTCCGGGACGGGATTTCCAAATGGAACTGGCACAAATGTGGCCACGTTTAAAAGGTTTTTATGGAGACATATGACTGTCTTAATCTCACAGTGTTTTAGTACATACCATGCATTTTATAGTCAATGTGATTTTAAAAGAAATGGATGCATAAAGCAGCCGTGTCTACTCACTTGCAAGTTGTTATTGGCTCTCTGGGCTCCACATTTTCTGATTTTCAGATTGCATTTTGAAAAGCAATCAAAAAAATTACAGTCTTCATCTCCTGTGCAGTTCTGTTCGAGGATGTCCCTCATTTTGGGTTCAAAAAAGGCCATATCCACATCAATGGCAACCACCTGTGGATCAAAACAAGCCATCAGATCTGGCATGGCAGAACCTGCAGGGCTGAGCAAGCATTCCTGTACTGTTTGCTTCTGGAAATGCTGTGCAGAGAGCATCTGCCAGTGAAGAACTGGGATCACAATGAAAGGGCTTTATTTCACTTAACTGAGCTGCATTGGTCTTATGATTATCACTTCTTAAACAAAACCAGCCATTGCTTATGATACCAGGAAAGGGAAAATTATCTGTGGACAATATGCATCCCTGGGGTCAAGTGGACTGACTTCCCTTAAACTGGGACTATCCCACTTGAAGATTTATTCACTTGTTGTTGCAGCATATGCAATGTCACTGCAACCTTTTAATTATATGGTGGTGAGAAATGCTCCAGAGGCCAGATGACATCATTGCACCATTCAGACTAAACTTCTGACGTTACCACTGTGGAGAGTAGCACTGGGATGTGCAGAATTATCCACACTCGGTGCAGCTCCTGCAATCTGCCATTGTGTCCAGTGGGTTTGAGTCTGCTCTGCTGTAGAAAGGGATCCCTGATGTTGCTGAAAGTTGGGACTGGCTTTGCCTGGTCCTGGTTTCTATGGTTTGACTCATTTATTGTGCACGGCTCTTGATTTGCTTGTCCAGAAATATGGTCCATAGCAGAGTCCAGCCAGTGGTTGGTCTCAGCAGAAAAAGCAAGAACTAAAGGGATCAATCATTTTTCTCTCCCAGACACAAGCCTTGCAAAATAGTGAAAATGCAGCACAAACAGGTCTGCAGAGCTGCTGCCCATGCCCCAGGTTTAGAACTATTCTGGGAGTGAAGGGCTGTAGTCTCAGTTTCTGCCAGGTTCACTCCACCCATAAATACTTCACTTCTTAAAAAACCCACAGCAATAAACAGGGAAAGAAAGGAGGCCAGTAATGGGATGGCAGCTGCTGGATGTGAGACAAACTGTGGGTGATCAGAGTGAACACAGCCTGCCTCTCATCGCAATGGATTCAGCAATCAGTGCATGTTTAGAGCTGTGCTTGACACTTCATGGTCAGAGTCAGAGATGCTCCCTTGGAGAAACTGAAACACATTTTCATGGAGGGAAACATCTGGGACTTAGGCAAAGCAGAGTTACTTGGGCTCAAAGGATAGTCTCACTTCTAAGATTCAACCTCCCAGGTAACAGGGGAAGCTAGACTGTGTGGCTGGAGCAGCAGCTAGATCAACCCCAAGAACTAAAGAAGTCTGGTCTGGTAGAAGGCCAAGCAAACCTTCCACAGGCAAAAGAGAGAACAAGGTCTAATCTTCATTTTATTCTACTTCTTTTTCTCCAGGGAAAAATCTTAGAGATTAGGCTTAGCTTAAAAACTCAAGTATTGCTAAGCTTTTTGGAGAGCTTGATAATGATGATGTAGCCTAAAGAATTTCACAGATTTGGACAGGCAATTTTTTTAAATTTTCTTCTTTACTTCCTTAAGCTTTCTGCAGTTTTGCTCTTCACTTCTTTGGAAAAGAGACAGTAAAAGTGGTGCAGGATTTCCCCAGTCCTAGGGTCGTTGCATCAGCTCCCAGGTGGGGCCTCTGCCAGCACTGGGCAACTTTGACAACCTGATCAACTGTTCTGCTACGAAAAGCAGCCCTGGTTCCTAAATGGGTGGCTGCCAAAGGGTTCGCTGGTTTCACTGAAGTTCAGCTGTTACAAAAATGTGTGGGCATTCAGTCAGACCCTGTGAAGACAGATCTGGGTGACACTCTACCTATAAACAGCTACATTTTGGTGGGGTTTGTTATGACTGTAATTGATGATGAGGGTACCTATGGAAATGCAGGAAGGACCCAACGTGGGCTCCTGACCTGATTTAAAGTAATGTTTAAAGTGCTATAATCTTTCTAGTTCTCTCTGAGGTGCTGGTAAAACAGGAAGCTCTCTCAGAGCACTGTATATTCACCCAGACCTCCTTCTTACGTAGCATCTTACGCAGCGTCATAGCAGCTTAAAATTCCCCTGGATGACCATAGACTCATTAAGGTTGGAAAAGAACTGTAAGGTCATCAAGTCCAACCATCAACCCAACACTATCATGCCCACTAAACCATGTCCTGAAGTGCCATATCTACAAGTTTTTTGAGCATCCAGGGATGGCGACTCCACCACTTCCCTGGGCAGCCTGTTACAATGCTTGACCACTCTCTCAGTAAAGACATTTTTCCTAATATCCAGTCTAAACATCTTCTGGTGCAACTTGAGGACATTTCCTCTCGTACCATTGCTTGTTTCTTGGGATCTACCAGGCAGCGATGCCTCCCTTCTGTGCTGCAGGAACAGCATGTGATGGCTGGAGTGAAGGCTGGAGGCTTATCCCCACCACTTGAAAATAATCGTTAAAGTAAAACTATTGCACTCCAGGCACATTTCTTTGAGCATTAGCAGTCTTGTCACTGGGATGAGGAATAGTGGTGCTATTATGGGTGTTTGTTATTATCCGACACAGAGCACAAGGCACAAGGAAGTAAAAAAACTGCTTTAAACAAACATGAGGGACAAAAAAAAAGAGGCTGCCTTGCTGTGTCCCTGTTCTAGAACTGGTTGATAAAACCACCTCGAGCTTCTGCTTCTCACTCTCCCTCCTTCTTCACCCATCAGAAGCTCTGTCTGTTCCTCCCCACCTCACAACTCTCTGACTGTGTGTATCTCCTGTCCCCTAGCTCAGTGGGGCAGAAACAGATGATACCAATAGGCTGTAAGTAATATACAACTGGGAGAGCCATGTGTGAGTGGCAACTCACCCTTTTTAAAAAATTAATCCGCCTAGAACATAATAAATTAGAGTACTTTCCTATACCAGAAGATGACTGCTGTCTCCTTAGACTCCAGAAGTTATGGGAGGGTCCTAGAGAAGCAAGCCTCACCAAAAGGACTCATAAGAGGAGACACATCCAATATTCGCTCTTTTCCTAAATGAATATCTTTTCCTGTGAGTAGGCTGTAAAACAGAAGCTCTGGTGTGTGCTCAGCCACAGGCAGTCCCAGCCCTGCATAAGTGAAAAAGACAGGCAAAGCCTGCCTGCCTTGAGGAATCCTCTCCGTACCTCACTTTGCCTAAACCCTGGTATGCTTTTTTAGTTTCTCGCTGTAGCTCCTCACCCATCCCCTGTTCAGCAGCTGTATTGCACCTGAATAAACAGTGGGAGGGAAGGGAAGGGTGAAGGGGAAGCACTCTAATTGCTCTTAATGGCTATATGTTTAGGCAATGTTTGTCTAGTTCTCTGAAGATGTGAGTGTTATATTAACACTCGGTGAGTACTGTTTCAAGTCTCTGAAAATGCTTTACTTTCACCCAGAGTGCAGAAACGTCCCTGATGTTGCTGCAGACAGGGAGCCTGGTTCAAACACTGACTTGCTCTCAGTGCCTCCAGCCTGCACACACAATTCTCACCAAAACCAGTGGAATTTCTGCCTGCAGAATGAACGCAGGACACATTCAGCAAGGTGGTGCTCAGCCACATCACTACTTAGAAAATACGCACAGCTATTCAGGTCTGAGTTACAGCTCTACAATGAAAAGTCTAAGAGTAACAGTACCAGGGAGTTTTATGTCACTGTCCTTGGATAATTTCCAGAGCAGATAAGCTGCTTGCTAAAGCACAAAGATGGGTGCATTTGTATGTGGAGAGATCCCCTTGTCCCAGGGCAGAAAATTCAGCCTTAGCTTTCACTCTCAGAGTTTTTCCTTTCAGCATCACTACCAGAAATAGTTGCCTTGACTCAAATTACAGCTTCATTTACAGCTTTTGAGATCTCCTCGTCTTCAGAAGGTATCACTTACCACCTCCAAGGGACCCTGTTGGTACCAGTGCCTTTGAGGAGGTGAAACAAATCAGAACTGAGACAGCAGCTCTCAAAACCAGCAGCAGGATTTAGTGCTCTGAAAGGTGGCTGCCCATATTACAAAGAGCAAAAGCAGCAGAGAAGCTCCCCTGTCACTTGTAAATGCATTGCAAAAACTTGGCCGAAAGCTGCACGAGGAGGGAAGTGTCACTTTAACACAGCCATTTTCAGGCTAGAATTTGACCTTAAATTGGCACATTGTGACCTTAACCACCACCCCAAAGACACAGCTTACCGTGAGATCGTGCCTGATAGCGAAGTTTTCTGGTTTGATGTCACACAGGTGAAGTCGGTGAGAGAAATCATTATCAAAATGCTGTACCATGTCCAGAAAGCTGAGTGCAATGTCAATGATGGCTCTCACCCTGCTTCTATGGCCAGCAAGGGAGGGACCGACCACATTTTCCAAGGGAAAAAGAGTTTTGTGCCAGGCGTGTCCAGCTGTGAGATACTCCACAGCATAAAAGTGTCCACAAGAGCCAATAATTCGTAGCACGTGTTTGCTGAAGTCCTGCAGCAAACTGAAGTAGATATATTCTTCCTGCTGGAGCAGGGACCACATGCTGGCCACCTGTGCTTTCCAACGTGGTCCCTTCTTCCTTGTCCACAGGGGCCCCATGGTGTTGTTAGATAGTTCCAGCCCCAGGACATTCTTGACCTCCAAGGCCACCATCAGCAGAAGCTCTGTTTCAGGAATATCTTGTGTTTCCTCCTCCTCTAGCATACCGAGATGCTGGTAGCTGGAGAAGATTTCCTTTTTGGATTTCAAGATGATGGGCTGACCTCTCCAGTCAGCCTGGATGACCTTCTTACCTCTGTCATAGTAAAGGCAGTGCTTGTACACCAGCTTCTGTGCCACACACAGGTCTTCACAGAGGTCACCAGTCAGGGCCCCGCTGCTGTAGTCAAGACACTAGAGAGAAAGAGCAGAACATTCATAGGAGGACCATACACCCATGGACGACATAGAAGAAAGGCAAAGAATCAACAACAGTCCTAAGCCCGAGAGGCTTGCAGCAGTCGTGGCACCAGAAGATCACACCTTCTACAACTGTTAAGTCAATGGTTTTTCAGAAATCTGTGGAGACCTTTTACTAGGCGTACTCTTGCTTCAAAATAGGGATTCTTGGGATGGTAAAGGACAAGCTTTTTTGGGGCAAGGAAATGGACTAGATGACCTGTTACTCTTAAGTTCTTGCAACATATGAATTCAGTGAGACAACCTTTGAAAAAGCTTGGCTGCGCTGTGTGAGATTCTGGGCAGCAACACAGCGATAACTTCCAGTGTAATGCAGAACTTCTCTGGAGGCTTCAGGGCAGCACAACTTAGACATCCTCTCTTAAACTACAGGAAAATCCATGGGGAGCTGATTTGCTGGGACCTTCCCCAGCCCTGCATGTTTCAGCCTTGCACTCAACGTGCCCTGAATGAAGCTGTAAGAACCTCCTTCCGCACTACCAGGAAACACAGAGGTTGTGCTCAATGCCTCTTGCACCAAGAACTTTCAGTTTTTAAATATATAAATGCTGTAGGACAGAATTACTTTTCCAGTTTTTATATGTAATGATCAAAACTGGCCTTTTAATATTAATTGCTTAAATACTTAATTTTTTTAATTGGGAAAAAATCAGCCCATGGATGCATGGGAACTGCTGCTTGATAGTTAAGCAGTCACTGCAAATTCATACAAGAACTGCAAGGATTCCCTCACCAGTTCTTCCCTCAACCCATAATTGTTTCCATACCATCATTTCCAAAAGTGTAGGCAGTCTATACATTCCTATGGGCATTCAGAAGTGCAGCTGCAGGGACTGCTTTGGGTGAGTCAGTAGAGGGGATGATCAGAGGTCTCTGGTGAAAGGGGAATAGACTGTGGTGGTGTAAGAAGCCAAACATCTGGGAGGCGGCTTGACAGTGTCAGCCTTCTTCGTTGCTTTCTGGCATTTGAGCCTTCATTTAAACAAGTTGGCAGCTCCCCCTGCATGTGGAGTACTTACGACAGCTGTCTGACCCCCACCTCATTTGTCACTTGCTGTTACTTGCACAGAAACACGACCATAAAATTCAAGTGATGTAAATTTTCTTAAAACTCTGAGATGTGCACCAGACTAATACGTTCTGATGCCAGGCAATATTCAGAGTCTAACCTTAAACAACACGCTGGGGAACGGGTGGAAGATTAAGCCCAAAATCCAGGAATGGTGATAAATTGACTAAACCAGCTCACTGAGACCAGCTCAGATAGGCATAAAATTTATTTATACTCTGATGTTCTCACAGCCCAAATGAGTGCATTCAATGCCAGCAAGGAGAGCCATGTAGGCAAACTCTAGCACCAACGTCCTGACCCTGAGTCCAGGGTGATGTACCTGTGTGAGACACACGCATCTGCACCCACATCAGGATGGCCAAGGAGGCTCTCTGGGCTGTCTCCAGGCTTCAGAGCACACAGATCAATGTTCTTGCTTTTGAAAATCTGCTCCTATGAATGTAATACAGATTTATTTTCCCTTTTCAAGTAGAAAATTTAGTTTTCCTAACAGAAGTAGTTTAGCAATTCTTACCATCTGGAACTTCAAGCGATTTTAGAAAGAAAATTACAAACAGAGGGAATTTCAGGGGTTTTCTTTCTTGTGTAAGTATAACCACATTAAAAATCATTGCTCTCTTATTGAGAGGACCACAACTTAACTCTTCTTCTGCTACAGTAAAAGAATATAGGACTTAGTCCTGTAATTGCACCCACATGTGTGAACAATTGCCCCTGTGGACAATTGTACTGTGGTCCATCAAGTTCACTCCTAGAGTGTCCGTATGCGTGGACCTCTTGCATCTAGAAGCACACATGCCCAGAAGCCCTGCAGTAACACGTGAACAGGCAGCCTATTTTCATGTGTTGCCATCACATCATTCTTAATGGCATTAATGAGAAAAAGTAGCTATGGAAAAAGCTGTCTCACTCACAGTTCCCAGACATAAGAGATGAGTCATTTTTGAACCCGGCTGCTGTTCAGGACTTGTCTGCTGTTCCATTTGAACCCATAAATCCTTGATTATTGACTTGGTATCTGGCAAATAGTCTCTGAATCAGATTTTTCCTACATTGAACTTCCGTGGTGTTTGGCAAACTGGGATCTGTGCAACAGGACTTGACCAAGGAGCTCCTGGACACACAATGATGTAACACAGACCAGCCTTCCAGAAGTAGCATTCTCTGCTGGTCACCAATGCAAGCAAGAATTTCAAAAAGGCTTCCTCAAATAAGCAATTAAAAAGTTTGAATAATTTTCCAGGTGTCTCTCTCCACTCACAGAATGTATTGAGATGTGAGTCACTCAATGGCTCTGCAAATCTCCTCAGTTTCCTGTTTATTATAACCTAGCAAGTCAGCAAAGACTGACTGCACCTTCTCATCTTCACTGCCTGTCTCCATTATTCCAACTTTTAATGTTTTATATTTTGCCAGAAGCATAGAACATTAAAAAAGCTTAGCTCCCTAGCCCTCTCACTATAATCCTTACGTTTTCAGCCCCTGGATGACTTGTGGTTTCCCTCCCTGTTTCTCCTCTCTATTTTCCCCTCCATTGGCTGATGGAACAGGACAGATATCAGAACTAAATAGTGTTGTCCAGTGCCATGAAGAGAGCCAACAGTCCTTCCTCAATTCTCCTTTTTGGAGACATTCAGAAAGACATTTGGAGACATATCAGCCTTTTAGGCACAGACTGCCCTGGTAGTTCATGTTGAAGCAACTATTTGACCTTCCCAAAGTAATTCAGTTTTACAAGAGACTCTTCTGTCCTATTGGCAGAGCTCGTACTCTTGTGCTGCACAGAAAACTAGCTTGCGTTTTACTGTATTCCAACACATTTTGGTCATCTGAAAACATTTTGCAGGTGATTCAGATTACCCTGCAATGAAAAGATAGTCTGTTTATTATTTACCAACCCAGGAACCTTTGCACTAACTGCAAACTTCACCATACAAGATTTTAGATCATCCCAACGACTGCTGAAAAAAAGAATAATATATTCCCCATGGAAATCTTCCAGAAATGGTCCTCCACACTGCCATCTCTGTCTTAATGACTGCATTTTGAGATCAGTCACTGAGACAGTTTTAAATCTATCTAATGAGCACCCTTTGAATGCCACTAAGTGCCAGAATTTTTAAACTAAAATATGAAAGTGATACTAAGCCAAAAGCCTTATAGAAAAGTAGCTACACTACACAAAAATGCAAACACAAGCATGGTTTGGACTCACTCATCTGTTTCTGTTTAAAATTAGCTACATAATTTTTAATATCCTTAATATATTTCTCAAGACAAGTTAAAAAAGTTGGGTTTAAATCCATGTAAAAGTTTAAATTCATGAAAACCCTACTAAGGACTTATAGAAATGTAAATAACTTACTGTACCACCATCACTTTTGTGTAGATCAGGCCTGAGACTGAGTCCTGCCTTGTTATCAAGTACTTCTCCCATGTAAATGCAATACTGAGCAAGGTTTTGAAAGGCATCAAAATTAATTAATTTATCCAGAGAAAACAGAAATCAATTGCTATGAATTAGTGTGTTCAGTGTAAATGAAGATGAGACCGATGTTAGGAAAGATTAAGTGGTTTTTTTGAGAGTTAAAGTTGGTCTCTGTAAAATGCCCAGTGCTACTTCAGCCTTCCTAATGCAGTACACATCTGCACTTACGTCCATTTTACTCAGAAGAAAGAAATAAACCTTCAGAAATATCACTTGCAAGGGTATAAAACCATGCAATTTTCACCTCGTTGCTTAAAATAGCTCACCTTATCTCCTACTGAAAATATGACAGATGACCAGTGAAATAGTTTTTCATGGAAGTCGAATTTTGCTTAATAAAAGGTGTGACACTCAAGTGATCAGATGACTTGTTTCGTAGATGAATTGTACTTCCTGTGGCTGCAAAACTCATGCTGTGCTCAGAAGTTGTATAAAGACTTATTTCAAGGCTGTTGAAGATGATCTCATTTTCTCATCATTCCACTGGAGGGATAGTCCCTTTCTAACGTCACCTGAGGAAAGTGTCGCTTACAAACCTTAAAGATGCTACTGAAGACTCACCTATGGAAACAGATGAGCACAGCCATCTCATCTACTCTTCCTCTGGAAAGAGGTCTGAAATTGAACTATCACACAGTGATGGAGACAACTTTCCAAACTTGCGCCTGAAACCTTATCCCTGTTTGGGCTTTCAAAGCCACCCCTGGTGCTCTCCAAAATAAAGAACAGCAACAAGTCTCCATCCGTCTGTTCACTGGTGAGTGTGATGGCAAGGGCTTGGACCCCCCTGAGCTTGGTGGTCCCTTGCAGCTCCATGCCTCTGTGTTCTTCCCAGCCACATAAGGAGAGGGAAGGATGTGCTCCTTCAGCTGTAATCTCAAGCTCAGCTGTTCCTCAAGATGATGTATGGGATAAAGCAACTGAATCTCACTGCCATTAAAAACACACTGCCAAGACCAACACCTATAGTTTCTCCTCCTTTAATACACAGAATTTAGGGAAAATTTATGATCTGGTGGCTGCAGTAATAGATTATTGAATTTTCATTAGGATTCCTCCTGTCCCACCTAACGGTTGGCACTACAGATACCTTAAACTCAAAGCATTAGCCCACACTGCTGCTCTTCTGGAAGTGTTTCCTGCCCAATTCTAAACCTAGTGAGTCGTGTGGGGTTTTTTCTCTTTTTTTTTTTTTTGAGGGAAGAGGGAGGTTTTTATTAATATTCACAAATCCTTTCTTGAATTTTTAATGCCAGCTCCTGCCAGACATAAAGGAGGCGTTACAAGCTGTGTAGCACTTTTGAAAGATGACTTTTGTCCAAACACCTTTTCGGCTAAATAAAAACAAAATCCACAAAACTAAAATCCAAATCC